AAATAGTTACAGTAAAATTTCAATAATCAGTTTTATCGGGATTTGGAAGGAACGTTTGTCTTGGTCACATGAGGTGTTTGTGAGAGTGAGTGCGAGTGATAATGATAAGAGAATTACGATTGCAGAAAAAGGGTTAAAAAAGGCCACTTGCACTCATATTCCATGCGTTTTCCTATTTGATTCCGTTTAAGCATCTTTTCACATATATTATTATGCCAACCCATTATTTCATATTAATTTTTCTATTTTTTTTTTCTCTACCTAATTAAATAACTACCATTATATTTCACATACAACATAGAGCTTTATATTGGAGTGTTATTCGGGTCGATTAGCTTAGCTTCGAGCTCGTACTTGTTTAATAAACGAGTCGGTTCAGTTCAGCCCATTTAATATGTTCATAAGAGCTCGACTTGTCTAGTTTGACAAACATAAAATATTATACGAGCTATTCGCGAACAAGAAATGTTAATCTGCGAACAAGTCCATATCGAATGTTTTTATTTAAAATCAATAAGAAGCAAAAAAGGCGTGAAAAAAAGGTCATCATTCACCCACCAAGTATTGATAACTTTTAGTGTTCTATGATTATATCCATCAGGTTTGACAAAATCATTTTAAAAAAAAGTTCTCATTCTCCCTCCAAATTTTTTCATCATTAGATAGTTTTCTCTTGCTACATTTAAATATATTAATGGCTTAAGCTGATAAATGCAATCAACAACTGCATGTAAATAAATGTATAATTACATCACAAAAGAAAAGTTTGCATATATTTAATTAAAATTAGACTTATGAGTTGACAGATGGAGAGAGAGTGTGACATAAATCCAAAATCAAATATTGCTGACACATAGAATAGTTTTTGGGGTATTAAATTGGCAATCATTTTTGGATCCAATGACCGGTTTGAAGTTTTATAATTAAAAGCAAAGTAAACTCAATTTTGTTGTTTTCTTTATTTAAAAGATTCCATCACATAGATTAGCGGCTAATAGAAAGTAGAACCTGAAGAGAGCTATGACTTTCGGCTATTGGAGTAAGTTATTAGCAAAGTGATTAAATGGCATGGTGGCCATATCAATATTTGATGGTTGGTAAAATTATAAAATATTATAATTATCAATTAATGGTGTTAGTTTTTATGTATTAATATTATAATTATTAATGAATGCTGTTAATTTTATATATTTGGAGGAGGAGCCAAGGAGGGGTTGTGGTCTTGAACAAGCCTCTTCACTTTTGACTTTTGAGTCACTTTTTTACTGTTCTAAATTAGTCTTTTAATTAATCAAGTCATTGTAGGTCTTAAATAAGATTCGTGCTAATATATTACAGTATTTTTAGAACATATTCGGTTAATCAAGTCATCGTAAAATTTTGATTAAATCTGTATTGATATCATATTAGAAAATAGTCATTCTGTTGCCTTGGTCTTGGTTAATCAAGTCATCACAAATTCTATATCACGTCAGAATAGTCAATTTAAAATGGCTAATCAAGTCATCACAAGCCCTAAATAAGGTCAATTGTGATATTATTTTAAAAAGGGCTTAGTTAATCAGCTCATCAAATGTCCTAGATTATATTTGTTCCGGTATCATTTTGGTTATATATTGAAATATAATATTAAATTTGCTTCAAAAGTAGTAAATAAAATTAAAAATTTTGCGACTCGAGAACGAATTTAAACACGAACAATTCTAGTTTCAGTCGAAAAAGCTACATAAAATAAACCTTAGTATTGAATGATATCACCCAAACTTTGTTTAATACAATATTCTGAAGCGGACTGTGAGAATGTTGAAAAAATATCTGATGTATTAATCACAAAGTTATGTACATGAGTATAAAGACAATAGATGGGCCTCACTTATGTTGGGCATTAATCTAAAATCTAATCTAACCCTACAATACATAACTCAAGGTGGTATAGTGGAGATCAACTTGAGTTTGCTAAGAAGTAAACAAAAGCGACCGGAAAGGAGAGACTTCGTGAAAACATCCGCTGGTTGATTCGTAGAGGAGACGGAAACAAGCTTCACAGTCCCATGTGCAACATGCTGTCGAATGAAGTGATAGTCAGTCTCAATATGCTTGATGCGCTCGTGAAAGGTATCATTAAGAGACATCTTTATAGCACTCTTACTATCACAATGTAGAGCAGTAGACGCTGACTGAGGTGCAGCGAGATCAACAAGTAACCATAATAGCTCGGAGGTAGAATCAGCAAGGGCACGGTACTCAGATTCAGCACTCGATCTGGAAACTAAGATGTGCTTCTTACTACGCCAAGAGACGAGTGAATCAAGAAAGAAGCAGTACCCAGTAATGGAACGACGATCAGTAGGATTTCCAGCTCAATCTGCATCAGAATAGCCGCTAAGTGTCAAGGAAGAACGGGCCGAGAAGTGTAAACCATGCAATAGAGTGCCCTTCACATAGCGAAGAATGTGCAACACAACAAAATGATACGTGGTTCTTGGAGCAGCCATAAACTGACTCACAATATGAACAGCATGAGCTTTATCAGGTCGAGTGACAGTCAAATATATCAAACTCCCAACAAGCTGACGATATAACGAGGATCCTCAAGAAGTGAGTCATCCAGTGGAGTAAGACAAACATCATAATCAAGAAGTGCGGAAGTTGTCTGACAATCAGTGAGACCAGCCCAAGCAAGAAGATCAGAGACATACTTGGCTTGAGACATGAGACAAATAGAAGCCATAAGAGGAATCAGAAATCTCAAGACCCAAAAATAGTGAAGCTGGCCCAAACTCTTCATCTTAAAACGCTGACGAAGATAGTCCTGTAAATCGGAAATACCAGTAACATCATCTCCCGTGATGATCATATCGTCAACATAGAGCAGCAAAATAATGATCCCAGATGAGGAGGACCGAAGAAACAAAGCAGAAACGTGATCACTCTTTGTGAAACCAAACTGAAAATATACAAAACTGGACGTGGCATACTAGGCACGAGGCGCTTATTCCAACCAATTAACCAACAGAAACAAGTTCAAGGCCAAGTTAGGAATGCAGTATGTGTTGGGAAGGTGTAAAGAAGGGGAAGAAACCAGACCAGTGTGAGTAATATTCATATGGATACCTGTGGCAGTATGTATAGGAGGTAAAGAAGTTACGGAA